TAAAAAATTTTAAAAATCCTTAGGGAGGGGGAGTGGGAGATAAGTTAGTTTTTACTGAGTTCCAGTTTGAGGAAATAAGTTCTAAAGATGATTGGTGATGGTTGTATACAGTGTGAATTAAATGCCACTGAACGGTGCACATAAAAATAGTTAAAATAGCCTAAACCGGTTTGGCTCAGGGGTAGAGTGTTGGTCTGTGGACTGAAAGATCCCAGGTTCGATTCCCGTCAAGGGCATGTACCTTGGTTACAGGCACATCCCCGGTAGGGGGTGTGCAAGAGGCAACTGGTCGATGTTTCTAGCTCGCGCTCGCGCGTGCTCTCGCGCTCTCTCTCTCTCTCTCTCTCTCTCTCTCTCTCTCTCTCTCTCTCTCCCCCTTCCTCTCTGTAAAAAATCAATAAAATATATTTTTAAAATAGTTAAAATAGTAAATTTCATCTTACATATATCTTACCACACACACAGAAAATAACAGCCTGTTCAGCAAGGGCTACAGGATTGCTGGAAACCCCCAGTCCCTGAAAGCTGCCCTAAAGGAAAAGCTGTGCTGAGTACAATATTTTTAAAAATATTTTATTGATTTTTTTACAGAGAGGGAGAGAGAAGGATAGAGAGTTAGAAACATCGATGAGAGAATCATCGATCAGCTGCCTCTTGCACACCCCCTACAGGGGATGTGCCCGGAACCAAAGTACATACCCATGACCAGAATCAAACCCAGGACCCTTTAGTCCACAGGTTGACACTCTATCCACTGAGCCAAACTGGTTTCGGCCAATTTTGTTTTAAAGAGACAAAAGTAAAAAAGAGAGGTTCAGAGAGAGAGGAAGAGTGAGAGAGAAACATCAATCAGTTGCTTCCCATATGTGCCCTGACCGGGGATCAAACTCACAACCTAGGAATGTGTCCTGACTGGGGATTGAACCCAGGACCTTTTGGTGTACAAGACTATGCTCCAACCAACCGAGTCACCAGCCAGGGCTCCACCTTAACTCCTGTAACAGATGGCATTCTTGTCACTGGCACTCCTCTAGGCATCCCAGGTTTTGAAGAAACCCAGAGACATGTTGCAGGGAGGTAAAGCATGACAGTAATTGGTCACTTCAGGCACTGTTAGGTGTACATCCGGCATGATTACTCTCAGACTTGGGCACAAGTAAGAGAGTCTAGGTTATGTGCAATTTTCAACCCCCAGCTCAAGAAAGCATATTAGAATACAAAGTGATAGTCTTGATATTATAGAAAAATCTTTAAATCTTTTTTCATATGTAAAATAGGAGTCCATTATACCATTAAGTCCAATAATTTTTATAAAGGAGCTGTGGGAAAGATAAGATTCAAATGTAGGAGGAAATAGAATTGTAAAAAAAAAGATAAAAAAGTGTAGAAAATTTTAAGGTAAAGATGGATAACAAAAAACATTTCTAAGACTAAAATCTGGTTCTTTTCACTAACCATGTTTACTAACCATAAAAAAAAAATTATCCTGAAGGTGGTCTGTGACTCTCCTCCTCATCCCCCAACTTCCACTTTGGGGATTTTAGTAATTTAATAAATCTCTTGGGAGAAATCTAGCCTTTAATTTCTAAAAAGCTTTTATACTAATTGGTCATCATGAGTTACCATATTCAAATCAATTTCTAATGTATTAGGAAATATGTAACTGGCTATTTCTTTTGTTAGAAGAGGCCTGATACTTATCTATTTTTTATTTGTATTTTTTGCTAATTCTTGTAAATTCATTATCTTTTTTCAAAATCTGAGAGATATATTAAACATCATGCCTGATCCTAAGTGGACTTGCTTGATGGGAAAAGGAATAATGAGGTTTTAGAAAGTGGTAATTCATCTGTAGCAAGACTATTAGCAATGGAATTAAAATTTGAAAGTAAATTATGTTAATATAGCAACTATTTTTCCTATTCTCATTTTTGTCTTCAGTTGCATTTAATTTGAGAAATTCTGACACTATCACCTCACTGCTGCTGGTTCAAAACCTGACAGTCTGAGCTGGCGTTAGCTATGTCACTGTGCACCATTCTCCCACCTTGGCCTTAATTTCCCCCCTGAAATAAGTCCTCAGATGAGTTCCAAGAGTCGGTCGTGTGGTCTCTTATTTTCTTTAAACTTTCAAAGCAAGTCAGTCCAGAATCACACATTTGGCCCTTTGTGAGGTTATTTCCTAAAGAATAAACTTCACCTTTTCTATCCTCCGATCTGTGATGGGTTATTGCAGTGGTAAACGGTTTTCCTAATAGAAGACTTTGCAATGATAGTTACTGTGTTGTGTTTGGATCCCTTTAACAGATGTTTTGTTAGACAAAGCAAGAGGCTATTATTTTTCTTCCTTAATTAAAAGTATTGACCAAGCTATGTATCTTGCAACTATACAGAGGCGGCCATTTAGTTGGAATGAACAACCTAGAAAATTAATTTTATTTTATGGCTCAAGCACCTGTTAGAACAGTGGTTCTTAACCTTCCTAATGCCGCAGCCCTTTAATACAGTTCCTCATGTTGTGGTGACCCCCAACCATAAAATTATTTTCGTTGCTACTTCATAACTGTAATTTTGCTACTGTTACTGAATCGTAATGTAAATATCTGTGTTTTCCGATGGTCTTAGGCTCTACAGCAGCGGTTCTCAACCTGTGGGTTGCAACAGATATTTACATTACGATTCATGTGATGTCCAGGTTTCCCAACACCATATGCAAGAATAAAATAAAAATCGATTAAAGACTGCCCTAGCAGGTTTGCCTCAGCTAGAGCGTTGGTCTGTGGACTGAAAGGTCCCGGGTTCGATTCTGGTCAAGAGGACATGCCCAAGTTGCAGGCCGATCCCCAGGAGGCAGGCAATCAATGATTCTCATCATTGATGTTTCTCTCTCTCCCTCTCCCTTCCTCTCTGAAATCAATTAAAAATTTTTAAGTGGATTAAAAACTTAAATGTAAGACCTGAAACCATAAAACTCTTAGAAGAAAACATAGGCAGTAAACTTTGACATCGCCCTAGTAATATTTTTTATTGTGTAAGGGAAACAAAAGAAAAACAAATGGGACTACATCAAATTAAAAAGCTGCACAGTGATGGAAATCATCAACAAAACAAAAAGATACCCTACTGAATAGGATAAGATAGTCACCAATGATACATCCAATAAGGGGTTAAATCCCAAAAAGTATAAGGAATCTATACAAAGTAACACATACCACACACACACAGAAAAATCAACAATCCAATTGAAAAAAAATAATGAGATCATACATACTGTTGAGGGTAGAGGACCTCAACAGACATTTCTCCACAGGGGACATACAGATGACCAATACACATGAAAAGATGCTCAACATCACTAATCATCAGATAAATGCAAATTAAAACCACAATTTATAGCTACAGTTACATACTCCTTGTAGCCTGAGATATAGCTTCACACTCGTCAAAATGAGTTACATCATAAACAAACAAGTATTATCAAGGATGTAGAGCAGAAGGAACCCTTGTCGGATTGTAAATTGGTACAGCCACTATGAAAAACCGTATGGAAAACTCCTTTAAAAATTAAAAATAGAACTACCGTCTTACCCAGCAAGTCCACTTATGGGTATTTATCCAAAGAAATCTAAAACACTAATTTTAAAAGATATACACATCCCTATGTTCACTGCAGCATTGTTTACAATAGCAAAGATATGGAAGTAACCTAAGTGTCTGTCCATGGACAAATGGATAATGAAGAGGTGGTATATATGTACAGTAGAATATTACTCAGCCAGGAAAAAGAGTGAAATTTTGCCATTTGTGACAACATGGATGGACCTGAGGGGTATTATGTGAAGTGAAATGACAGAGAAAGACAAATACCATACGATTTCACTTATATGTGGAATCTAAAGAACACAATAAAGGAACAAACAAAACAGAAACAGACTTGTAGATACATGACATTTTGATGACTAGCAGATGGGAGTGGGGTTAGGGGGGTGAAAAGGGAAGGTTTAAGATGTGCAAATTGCCTGTTATAAAATCAATCACAGATACCAATAATATTGTAGTAATTATGTATGTTGTCAGGTGGGTACTAGATTATCAGGGTGCTCACTTCCAAAGCTACATAAATGTCTAGTCACTATGTTGAACACCTAAAACTAGTCCAATATTGTATGTCATCTTTAATAGAAAAAATAATACATATACACATACACATACATACACACACACAGTTTGTACATAGCTAGTTATTTTCATTTTAGAAGCTTGGCTTCCCATTTTTAGTATAAGTACTTGTTAGCTGGGGACCCATTTGATTTCTAAGAGAATTCCCAGTTAATAAAAGAGGCCTGGGCATTCCTAACACACATTCTCCTGCGCCCTATTCAGAACTGAAAAAGAATCCCAGGTAGCCAAAACTGGTTTGGCTCACTGGACAGAGTGTCGGCCTGTGGACTGGAAGGTCCCAGGTTCGATTCCAGTCAAGGGCATGTGCCTTGGTTGCAGGCACATCCCCAGTAGGGGGTGTGCAGGAGGCAGCTGATCGATGTTTCTAACTCTATCCTTCTCTTCCTCTCTGTAAAAAATTCAATAAAATATATATATTTAAAAAGAATCCCAGGTATCTACCCCAAACTAATCATGGGATTTTTATCTGTAATAAAAGGAAGACATGGTGGGGGGATAAAGACAATTATTTGAGACCATAATAAAATATTTTTTTAACAAAAGAAAACTTCTGGGAGAATATAATGTAGATGAAAACATTATTAGGGCTTATCTTAGGATGCTATGTTTGAGGTATTATCATCTCCTTTTCTATGTTTTGTATTTTTACCCATAATAAACACTTATTGCTCTTGTAAAAAAAAAAAAAAGGAAGACATGGTTTCTTCCCAGGCTATCTATAACCATAAATGTGGTTTGAGTGTGGGCACACCTATGAACATACACGTTTGCGTTGTTCTTACCTCTTTTCCTCTCGGTACGCAGACGCTCTGGAGAGGATGAAGAGCGAGGAGCTGGCGGTGGCCATGGAAGAGACCTGCGGGCAGGAGGACGCGGCGGGGGCGCCCGGTGACGCTTTCCCCGGCCTGGCGCCGGCGCCTCCCGGCCGCCTGGGGGCGCCGTACTCCGAGGCCTGGGGGTACTTCCACCTGGCCCCCGCGCGCCCGGGGCAGCCGTCGGGCTACTGGGCCACCTGCCGGCTGTGCGGGGAGCAGGTGAGCCGCAGCCCGGGCTCCCGCGCGGGCACCCCGGCGCTGTGGAGGCACCTGAAGAGCGCGCACCGGCGGGAGCTGGAGGAGGGCGCCGCCCGCCGCTCCCCGCCCCCGGGCCCCGGCCCCGGCCCCGCCGCGGCCGCCGAGGGCGACTGGGCGCGCCTGCTGGAGCAGATGGGCGCGCTGGCCGTGCGGGGCAGCCTGCGGGAGCGCGAGCTGGCGCGGCGCGAGGCGGCCGTGGAGCGGGGCGAGCGCGTGCTGGAGCGGCGGCGCCGGGCGCTGCGGGAGGAGGAGCGCGCGGCCGCCCAGGCGCGGCGGGAGCTGCAGGCCGAGCGGGAGGCGCTGCAGGCGCGGCTGCGGGAGGTGAGCCGGCGCGAAGGCGCCCTGGCCGCGGCCCCGCTGCACACTCCGCTCAAGGAGGAGCCCGAGGGGAAGCGGGACGGCTACTCCGTCCACCTGTAGGTTCCGGCCGCTCCCCCGGCCCCACGCCCGCGCTGCTCCACGTGTGGCCGGCGGGCCAGCGTCTTCAGCCTCACCTGGGAGCCCCTTCTCAGAACTGGAATCTCCTGGGGAGGGCTTGGAGAGCGCTTCGGAAGCCTGTGCGGAACCAAGTCATTTGGACCCCGCGGCCGCCCAGGGAGCCTGGGAGAGCAAGCTCCAGCAGCCCCCTTTGCTGTTGGCGTTTAGTTGGCGTCCGTGCTGGGAGCAAGTTTTCCTCTAAATTAAGGTGACCAGAGGCCCCGATTTTTAATTGGGACTTTTTTAAAAACGCCGCGGGACACAGTGTTAAAAATCGGGACCTCTGGTCACCTTACTCTAAATGCCTTTGGAAATGAGAGCTCCAGCAGCCCCTCGAATCTAAGGTCATCTGAGGCCTTGTACCTGGTGACTCTGAAAGGACAGAAGCTTCTTACCCGCCAAAGACGACTACACCATGTGCCTGTTACACTCCCAGGACAATCCAGGAAAACAAGGGTAAAGCAAAATAAAAAATAAAAATTTTTCTACTCATTTCCTAATGAGTCAATCTTTTTTTTTTTTTAAATATATTTTATTGATTTTGTTCAGAGAGGAAGGGATAGAGAGCTAGAAACATTGATGAGAGAGTCATCGAACAGCTGCCTCTTGCACACCCCCTACTGGGGATATGCCCGCAACCAAGGTACATGTCCTTTACCGGAATCGAACCTGGGTCCCTTCAGTCCCCAAGCCGACGCTCTATCCATTGAGCCAAACCGGTCTCGGCTAATGAGTCAATCTTTGATGAGCAGCCTTTGCCCAAGACCAAGTTCTGAAAAAGGGGGCCACTTCGTTTCCACGACTTATGCTTATCTCACACCTCGCCTCAGCAGTACAATCCCAAGAGCCCCCGTTTACTCTGCTCCCCAGTTTGCACACCGCATGCAGCTTCGTCTGTTTCACCTCAGCCAGTTCCTTTCCCATTTCGGACCCAGGGGCAGCTGTAGTCAATGTTCCCACTTCCTGCCTCCTGACGAGCAAAACATGACCTCATCCTTCATTGCTATGAAGGCGCTTCCTTCCCCATCTGTTTCCACAGTACTTGCATGTGTGGAAAGAGCCTCCCACCTGAGGCAACCTCCTCCCTGTTTACATCTATTCCTTTTTCCACTTTCACCGGCTCTTAGCTCCATTAGTGTTCTTTCCCTCTTAGTCCCTCCATTTTCCCCTCCCCCCACACTTCCTCAGAAATGCCCAGTTTCCCTTGTACTGAAAGAAAGACTTCCCCCGGGGTGGATGCTCTCAACTGAATCACCATCCAAGAGAGTCAAGTAGTCCTTGCTGCCCATACTTCCTCCCCATGGTCAGCTTTCCATGCCACACTGGACTCTTAAACCACCACAATCTCAGTGGCTGAATGTGCTTATTCATTCAACCTTCATTTTGCTTAATCTCTGTTATGTGGGCCTTGCTTTTCTCCCAGAGAACTGCTTTTCCTGATATAGACTAGTTCCCAAACCATTTTTTAGTTTTATTCTCATTTTTTTATATATACTGAAAAATTTCAAACATCCAGAAAAAGTTGAAAGACTAGTACAATGAAAACCCATATATACCCTCCACCTAGATTGAATAATTGTTAACATTTTGTCATATTTACTTTTTCTTTCCTCCACCCCATACATGTGATATTTTATCCCTAAGTATTTCAGTATATATCGCCTAAGAATAAAGACATTGTTCTACATGATTACAGTGCAATTATACCTAAGAATATAAACAATTTCCTAATAGCCTTTAATATAAAGTCCTTAATCAAAAATTCCCCAATTGTCCCAAGAATGTCTTTTTATCCTTTAAAAAACAGGGATCAAAATTAATATATTATTTTGATTATAACCCATATCTTTTATTTTTTATTTTTTAAATTTTTATTAAGAATCCCAGCCATCTGTCTTACAGAAAGTCCTATATCTGGTTTTGTTTGATTCCTTAAGCCAGTGGTCGGCAAACCACCGCGGCTTGCGAGCCACATGTGGCTCTTTGACCCCTCGAGTGTGGCTCTGCCACAAAACACCACATGCGGGAGCGCACGTGCAGTGCGCCTGAAACTTCGTGGCCCGTTGCAGAAGTCGGTTTTCGGCTGGGCGGGTCTATCTTGAAGAAGTGGTTCTAACGCCGAGCCACACTCAAGGGGCCAAAGAGCAGCATGTGGTTCATGTTACCAACCACTGCCGTAGGCCAATTTCTACACTCATTCTTAGTTTACCTATAAGCTGCAACGATCACTTTGGTGCCAATGCTGCCCAAATACTTCCAACCTTGAGTGTTCTGCCCCCACCTGTCCTTTATAGCCAATCCCTTTCTGCCTGTTTCCATCTGTACTTGCATAACTGCCACTGCAGATGGAAAAGGCAAATCTACTCATCTCCGCATCCCCACCCCTCATCTTTATTGTACTCTTAAAATGTAGCAGGTACATACACACTTTACATGGGTCCTCTCACTTTATTCTCATAGAAGCTCCATGGGGAGGTACTAATATGCCTGCTTCACAGCTAAGGAAGCGGACATAGACAGGAGTTAAGTAGCTTGTACAAGAACCTGCTGTTAAGTAGTAGAGCCGAGATACAAATCCAGTCTCAGCCTCCAGATGCCAGGCTCCTAGATGCTGTATTGCCTCCCTTATTACTATCACCTGACTGACACCTGTTTGCTTCCTAACTCCAATTTCATGTAGAACCATCTGTGACATTAACATGCACTAAGCATTGACCATGTACCAGGTCCATGCTAAATACTTTACAATTGCCTGCCCTGCAGCAACCCCATGACACAAGTGCGCTTATGCCCACTTTGCAGGAGATAGGCTCAGGGGAGCTAAATAATGCCTGCAGAGTCACACAACTACTAGGAAACAGAGTGGGACTTGAAATCTAGTCTCACTAAATCCGAGGCCCTGATCTACTGAATCTATTTTTACAAAACATCACACCTGTTTTCTTTAAAATGCCACTTGTGAAGCTCTGGCCATATTTTCACTCATCTGGGGTTCATCTTCCCTCCCTTCTCTACCTGATACATGGCCAGAAAAATTGTACTAAGCCAACACTGATATCACTTTTCTTGTTCAAAAGCCCCCCAAATCACTTATCATTTACCAGCTTTAACTCTGTGGCCTGACATCCAAATCCACACGTCCTGGCCAGTCTTAGTTGTCCCCTCACCTACATATATTCCAGCCAAATCGGACTCCTTATTCTTCTTGGTGCCTCTATACCTCTATTCACCTTCCCTCCACTTAAAAGTCCCTTTAACCTCTGAGTGTGGAAAATCCAAGTTCAAATTTGCCTGCCTGCATGAAGCTTTCCTTGGCTCCTCTTTTGGAGATGATGCCTTACCTCTCTGAACTCTCATAGCATTTTCTACCTCACAACTCTTAGAACCAACTATCTAGCTTATGGCAATGTGGGTTCTTTTTAAAAATATACATTTTATTGATCTTTTACAAAGAGGAAGGGAGAGGGATAGAGAATTAGAAACATCGATCGGCTCCCTTCTGCAATAAACCAATAATAATAAACACACCTCCTACTGGGGATGTACCAACAACCAAGGTACATACCTGGGTTCCAGGGTTGATCCCCATCCCCAGTCAGGGGTGCATGTGGGAAGCAACCAATCAATGTGTCTCTCTCACATAGATATTTCCCTCTCTCCCTTCCTCCACTCTCTAAAAATCAATGTAAAAAAAAATATCCTCACTCCTCAGGTGAGGATTTAAAAAAATGTCCATGAGCATATTTGGTCCATATCAAATGGTCCTTGTTTCAGGCCAAAAACATACATGTTTAGAAAATGTCCCTGAGTTCAAATAGCCCATACTGTTTGTTTATACTTTTGGTTTATTTAAATGGTTAAAACATAATAAATACTATGTTTCATTGGCCCAATCATTGTGTAGAGGCTGTATTTCCAATGACCCTTATTTCTTTTGTAGCCTACCTGGTCATATATAGCTCATGGGATAAAGATAGGTCAGTGTGAACCAAGTGTCTCCATGGATGTCTGGTACAGGACCAAGTATCGAGGATCTTTTGGCAGGGACCAAATGTTGCTATGGATATTTTGGATGGAACCAAATGTCCTGCTAGGATGTGGATGGGAGTTCAAAACTAATCCAAAAGACCTCAGAAAGAGCAGGTTCGCTGGGATGATTCCTGAGAGCAGATGCACACAAGTCACAAAGGTTTGCCGAGTCATTTTCCTTCAGGATAGAACGATTTTCCTATAAAAACATAAATTTCATACCTGATTTGCCAAATGAGCTAATCTAGTCAAAACTCAATATTATAAAGTAATCTGACCAATTTTACAAGTAAATCTATCAAAGCCTGCCCATCCAAGTAACTTCCCTTCAAAGTAGTCACTTGGAAGAGTCATTCCAAAAATGTATCCATGCTTAAAACACTCCTGGAACTCTTCTCTTACAGCAGGTCTTGCAGTTGCTCGCACACTCTTTAAAACATCCTTAAATTGGCAAATATTCATCTTTTCAGGAAAAATTTGATTTTTTAAAAGAGCTGACAGTTATTCGGAGCCCAGTGTGGTGAATGTGGTAGATGATTAACTAAATTAACTTTTCTGGATAGTACAGCGTGATTATAATAAACCAATAATAATGATTTTTGTGTGGCTCATAAATTGGCCTTGGAAGTGTTATATATTAAGGTTAAGTAAAAGGAGCATGGTCATAGTAGAGATTAAAGCCCATTTTAGTGGGTTTATGATGTGAATGAATTCAGATAGCACTGGGAGTCATTACATATTTAAATAGCACTGAATGTTTCTTTTTATGAAAATCTTAATTATGATAATCTCTGAAATCTGATTTCACAGCACTAAAATGAGGGCTTTAAGGAAAAGCATTAAATGCTAATGAGAGCTTTATTATTTCAGTATATATTCTCCCGGGCCTTTGGTCAAGATAAGTAATGATCAGA